GTTTAAGCTCCAAGCGTGGCTTAACAGGGGAGAAGCCTTTGATCAAACAATAAAAAAGCCAGAGAGATGAGCAATAGTTGTACCCAGGTCACAGTACATTTACCAGTTTATAGTACTACACACCTACTTCTTCAGTTACCATCTTCAGATGCACACATTATAGGAAAATCTTTTTTTGCTAGCCAACTGAATTTAAACACACACACACACACACTTTGGATGAAAAAAAATCTACCATGCCAAAAAAGTGCCTGGACATTTAGAATCAGTAAGGAGAGAGAAGACCTCCCTCCTTCTAAGATTTTGAACAGGTTCCTCACTTTGTCTTCAAAGAAGCTATACCAGATTACATTGACTGAGAATCTGGTCCTCATTTGCTTTGGTTCAAACCAAAGACCCTTATGCTTACCCACACTGTAAGCACATCTGAATGGCAAAAGTCAGAAATTCCTCTATATGTTAAGCATCAGTGCAAAAATGCATTAGCATTTAGTGGCAGGAGCTCTGGACCGGTGGTGCCAAGGGAATAACAGCATGCATTGATGTTAAGTTTTTATTAGAACTTGTATGCACTTATCTACACCACACCGCTTTTGAAGATTCTCACATTCTGGGGATGCATAAAAGATGACATATTGTTTTCTTAAGAGGCATTGTTCCACACTTTTGTAACACGCTGAACAGTGTGGCTGATGGACAACTCGCTTTAAAAAAAAAAAAAAAAAAAAAAAAGCACACCTTCTGTAATTACGCAAACAACTGTTTCAGTCTAAAACATTGAATGGAAATTGCAAGGGAAAAACTTCATAGCTTGACAATTATATATCACAACACAAAAAAAAGAGTCCTTTCTTCCAGCAAATGCCATTTGTTTATTTTCAAAGATAATAAAACTGACATAATAAAACAAAATGCTTAAAAATTAAACCAAAGCACTTCCCTTCCCCCAAAAATATAGAATGGTAAAGGCAAAATCGTTTAAATCATTTCCTTAGTAATACAAGTAATATTTAAATAGATTTAATAGTGCTGCTCCAAACCAATGAATTATGAGTTTAAAACCTATTAAAATGTAATGTTTTTTTCCTGAGCTGAGGGGAGAGAGATTTAAATCCACTGAATTTTAATATTTCAGCTTGAGCTGCAGGAGGTAGAGAAAGTCCAAATGAACTATTCCATCAGCACCATTCAAGCATGAACATTTTAATCAGTTTTACTTCCTTGGAGTTCTCTAACACAGTTTACGCTGTCATTCTGAAAGCACTTAACACAGAGAGTGTGAAAAACCACCAAGGCTTGTTATTGCCTTCACAATTGATGGCAAATAATTTTGCAGACTTCCTATCATTAAAATGTCACTGCTAAAAATTGAGGTTCAGCATTTCTTGTGCTAAACTGCATTTTCTTTGAACACCATCACATACCTGTTCTTAAGTTTTTGGTACATTTATCTGTCTGTATGCAATAAACAGGCATACAAACAGTAGCCTCCATTTCTGTTTTACAACCTAAATGCAGCTGAACTTATACATATATACAATTTAAAAATGCTAATTGAAGAAGCTCAAACAAAACAAACAAAAAAAATCTTATCCTGATAAAATTCTTATAAAGTTGCAAGTAAATTCCCCCGTTCCCTTATTCAAATGTAACCAATTCACACAGCATGTTCTGACTATATACTGTAATGGATTAAAAACAAAACAAAAAAACATTTTAAGTGAGTTAGATGACTCAATTTAATAATACAGGAAATGAAAACATCATTCCTAATTAGATCATATTACTACTGATTTAAGACTACAATTTCTGTGTTGTTCCAACAGTGTGATCTTGCAGTTCAATTTAAAAACACAGTGGCTATGACATGACAAGATCAACTGGATACATACAATTCCTTATCTCAAGAGAACAAAACTTGTAATTTCTATTGAGCATTTTTTAGTAACTATTCCTCAAAATAAGAAGTCTAAGCAACAGCGCAGTCTACCACAAACAACAGATCCAAAATCTGGGTTAATTAATCAGAGTCAAAAACAATTTTATGATATCTGTGGCCCCTTTCCCCTGTTTTTTTGGGAAGAAGGGGGAGAAGATGGATGATATTTAACTTGTTTCAATCTGTCAATAGTTTTAAACTGAACATGACCTGTGAAAGAAGTCATTATAACTGTGTTTCATTCCATTAAACACAACTAGTTTATTGTCAAGAGAACAAGCAGTCTCTCCAGGTTCCAGGCTCACTTCAGTATTTTGCATTTAAACTGCATGGATCAGTGATTCGGTTCATTTACCAATGAAGGTAGAATAATATTGCAAAGTTAAAAAGGTGCTTCATCAGATTTCATTAAATCAGAGTACATATGTGTAAAAAAATGTATACATGAGACAGAGAAAGACATGATTTGTGCATATTCATTTTTTTCTTGTGCCATCTTTTACTCTGATACAACCCCATTTTGAAATTCTAACCCAAGGTTCCCCCGTTCAAACTAAAGGAGCTTTTGCCTGCAGTGAGGTGAAATGAATGATGCAGAAAATACTACCATTACTCCTAACTTTTTTTCTGACAGAACTGAATGAATGAAAACATATTCTTTAAAAAAAAAACTGAAGTGCCATGGATCCTTTAAAAATACTACAGTGTTACAAACAGAACTATCAGACTTAGTAGAGTGCAAACTAGTATAAGACAAATAGCACAGTTAAAAAGCTAGTGAAAACTAATTATACTCTTTGCTTTTATTGGTATGCATTTTACTAAGTATGCCAGGCTTTTAGTTCTACAACTACATTTTCCAATCTGTTTTTAAAAAAATTCTTGCCATTTTCTGTGTGGGTGTTTTCTCTACTATGTATCTCACACACACACGGGGGTGGGGTGCAAGTTGGGCGGAGAAGGGTGAGACCAACTGACTGGTTAACTATGCAACTAGAACTTCAGCTCTTTTGATAATCTGCTACCCCACTTAAGAATTTTTAAAAGAAAATTATCAAAAGATGAAATGTCATTACTCCCCTTATGCAATAATGTAAATTATATAAACAGGATTTTTTTTTCAGTCAGGATCAGAAATAATCCAAATCAGTCTAAAATTACAGTGTGCACAGGAAGTAAGAAAAAAAGGAAGTATAGCAAGTAAAAATGATTTTTTTCAGGGTGGGAAGGGGTGATGATCAGCTATCACTCTTTTTAAAGCCAAAAAAAATTACAGCCTTTATGAAATTTGGGCCAGGAAGACTTTCGATTCAGTAATAGACAAAATAGGATATTTAGTTCTTCCCTTTCGGACGGCAAAAGGATCAGTCTCCTGAACAAATATCTAGTCTGCTTATATTTATTCTGTATATTTTCATGGCTCGTGGAAGTAGGATAAACTTAAAACAACTGCACTCTGCAATATGCAACAGTGTCATACATTCCATGTCAACAGACTCACTGGTAGAAAGCACATACATGTTTACAGCCTTTCCAATAAATATAATGCTGAATGGAACACACACACACACACACACACACACAGAGTGAGTGTGTTCCATTCAGCATATATATATGCGCACAGGTACACAGAATGCAGTGCATACATACATACATACATACCTTCTTTAAAAAAAACCTTTAGCAACTTACTTTATGCAAAGAATGTTAATAGGAGGCAGTATTTTTGGTTAGGTAATGAAAACTAATTGGGAAATTATTCATCTCCCACTCTCCCCACTGGAGCGTAAAAGACATACAACAAATGTTATTCATGATTCTACACGACTCGCTCTGATTCATCCCCTTCTTTCCAAGGGGCACTTCAGAGGAAATAAAGGTTACTCTTTTCCATTTATATCTTCTAATTGACTACCAGTATTTTCTTGTGGTCAGAGGGACACAAAATAGAGTAAGAAACAGCCTATTAAAAACAAGCTACAATCAGACCACTGCTCTACGCTACTGTCAGCAATGATCAGAGAGCCCCGATTTCCTTGTTAAAAGACAGAGGCATAATTGAAGCAATATCTTCACTTCAGATTGATTATTCGGCGACCCTTATCCACATCTTCACTCAGCAATTTGAATTTTAATGAAAGTAAATGGAATAATTAGCATTTCAAAGTGTGTTTGATACACTGAATAAAAAAATATGGAAGAGACTTATGTATAATCTATACACAAAAGAAAAAGCATTTGGGGGGTAGAGTAAGTACAGTTGTAGTATCTTCATTAGAATAACTTAAACAAGTGCTTGCACCAGCTGAATAATTATAGATGTGAATAATGTGTTATTAAGCTATGATTTCTCACCTATATTTTATGTAGTGTGAACACAGCCAATGTTTCATTGTTTTTCTTTTCCTCTCGAGTCATAAAATGTAAACATCATGGCTACCCAAACCCATAAAAGTCTTGCATGATTTTTATGCTAAGCTAATATTGTTGGCAGTAAAGTTTTTATAAAAGAAGGTTTTAAACTTATTCTTTTTAAATAAATGCGAGTAGTGTACCTCTCACTTCATTTGTGAATGACCATTCATCTCTAGATTTTGTAGGAACAAAAGTCTGTTTTTATTAAGATCATTATTATTTTTAAAAACAATCTACATTTGTCTATTTTTGCCCCCCCCCGCCCATGTGCTAAATTGCAAAGAGAGTTATGAGAGAAGGATGTCCTTATTAAAAAAGGATTTTAAATCAAATGCCACCTGTATGGTAGCTGTAGCGGCAGACTGAATATAGTGCCATACACATGAAACAATTTTAATGGGGGAAGGAGGAGGGAAACGCATCAATAAAAAAAAAAGTATGTACTTTGTGTAGGGGAACAGATAAAATACATAATTACCCTAGTTGCCTTAGGGGCAAGAGCACAATCGAAACTTAAGTCAAATAACTTGGTTTCATTGCTATTCACAACTTTGCTCAGCTGATGGAACTAAATTTAAAGATGGACAGAAAGAAGGAAAAAATTAATTACAGACACTAGGAGAGCTAAAATGGAAAGACCACGTACCCCAATGATTGCGTTCAGTTCTGCCATGGTCACTTGCTTGGCCCGTTCCACAGCCTGCACCACTTGTTGCTGGTGCTATAAATGAAGATCAGAAACAGAATAAAATTATTTGCTTTCCAATTAATTAAGCACAGATTTTTCTTCTTCCTTCTTTCAAAAAAAAATCTTTCAACCACATGCAGGGCTTGTAATAATAGTTCTCTGAATAGACAGTAAAATTCTGAATGGATGAGCATGAGCAAAGGTGGGGAAAATTTTATCCAAGTCATTACCTGCCTGAATTACACTAAAGCCCCCTCCCTTCTCTACAGTGAGCTAGTTCAAGACTGAACTACTACCTTTAAAGAAAAAACACAACCTGATCGGCAAAACGTGCTTCTATTGAGCATGTGCCCCCTCCTAAAATGCAAGCCCATCTCCTTAAAGGAACCAACTTTTCAAATAAAGATACATTCCGATAAGGAAAGGCTTGTTTTGTCACCAGCTTTACTGTTCTCTCTTTAGATGAGGAAATGCTGATTCCCCTTCTTCATATATTTCAAAACAGCTCAACATAGGAAGAAATTTTAAAACTTCATTCACAAGTCTATCAAAATGCTGAAACAGGGTTAATTATTTCAATCCCTGACATGTAAGTTTTAATAGTTTACAAAAGTCCATAAAGAAAGCACACGATCTAATTAACAACACCGTTTACAAGCTTCAACAGTTATATTATCTTGCTTTGAGCAAGGCAGTATTTCAGTAGTCAATTCAGGATGGCTGAAGACTGAAAACTGATATATGTTTGTTTGACAACACTGATAAAAAGAAGAATTATTTCCTAATTCTGGAGTTACATGACCTATGTTTCTTTGGAGCTTCATTGAACTTCATCTATCTGTTCTGGTCAGCTGGAAGAACCCGGAATTATAGTTCACTAATTTTTTCACCAACACCAGACTAAGGTGTTGGGACTAGAGATGTTATAGGCAGACCTTTGGCCTGTATGGGGACTGCACTGCATCATCCCTTATTTATAGGCAGAGGTTAAATGAAGGAAAGTGTCTTCTTTACATCAGAATAATGTATTTGATATAATAGGGTCTTTATACAGTGAACAACTGTTCACTAGGGCACCCCCAGGGAAGATGAGGATCAATGAATACAGACTCCTGGAAGGCTGCTTCAGGCTTAATACCAGGAAAAACTCCTTCACAGTCAGGGTGTCCAGACTGTGGAATCAACTCCCTGCAGAGGTGGTTCAATCACTTACCCTAGAGGTTTTCAAGAAGAGACTAGATCAGGGGCAGGCAATTATTTCAGGCAGAGGGCCACTTACCCACTTTTGGCAAGCTGTCAAGGGCCACATGGGCACAACTGAAACAGATTCCTAGGAGCTCTCCCTGAACACAGGTAGTAAAAGAGTAGCATGCACAACTCACTACTATCTCTGGAGCAGGACCTACATTGCCTAAAAGCAATCTGATGGGGGATAAAAGTGTGTGGAGGTAAAGGGGTAAAAATGAAGGATCACAAGGAGGTGTTGTTAAGTACAGCAGCTCTTAGGCTAGGGACAGACATTACACATAAACCGGTTTAAGTGATCAGAAACTGGTTTAAACCTGTAACAGAATAGATGTTCAGTGCACATAAACTAGTTTGAAAATGGCTGAAACTGGTTTGAGATAAACCTGGTTCATGTAGCATCAGAGACTTAACTGATTTGGGGCAAACAGGTTTATGCAATGTTTGTCCCACATCCTCCCTGGTTTAACTTAAAACAGAGTTCCCCAGCATCCCAGATGCTTTGTAGCCCTGGGCAGGGCTCTTTGCTCCAGAGAGCAGGGCTGGCCCTGCCCCCACCACTCACTGCTCAAGCAGGGATCCCTTCCCTCCCATCTCCCAGAGCATGGACCGTAGTCAGCAAGTGGTATGCTAGCTAATGCCGAGAGGCATCTGTGTAAGGCAGGCAGGACAAAAGCAGGCAAGCAGTGTCAGCTGAGGGCTTTTAGGAGCTAATTAACAGGTAGCTGGTAATATTCTTCCATTCCTTCCTTGGAAAAAGCAGTTTATGAAGAGCATGAACTAAATGAGAGAGACTTTTGTTTTGCTGATGGGCTGATAAATGCTCCATTACCAATTCCCCGTGCAACTCCCTGCTATGCAAGTAAATCCTGTGTAATTCTGTGCTGGCTCCCTCACTGGTCAGGAGCAACAAAGGGTGGGTGGAGGGAACCCATCCCTAATCAGAGCCTCCTGCCTGGCCACATACCCCCTCAGCTGAGCACTATGGAAGGGAGGGAAGGCTGCTCTAGCATCCCTTGGGTCACCACAGGCATGTGCTTGCATCTCTGGGGTGTCTGTACAGTTACAAACCAGTTCAGCCTAAGCAGGTTAGACTAACCTGCAAAAATTAAATGAATTCAGGCTCAGGTTTTTTTTGAATGTCTGTCCCTAGCCTTAGTGGCTTCCCTAAATCATGCTAGAGACACCCTGAATCTAGAAGGCAGCAGTGGCAGTAGTAGCAGCAGCAACAATAGTAATAGTAAGAAGAATGATAAATAGTAGTAATAATAATAAGCTATTTTAAAAAGGCATCCCCTCTCACAAAACTCTGGAGTACTGATTTTTTTTTAAATTGTAGTAATCAAAGACATACCAACACCAAAGGAGTAAATAAAAGCAACCAATACAATAAACAATGATGGTAGAAATTTAGGCATCTCTAAAAAATACATTTTTAGATTTTATATGGTAACAGATTAAATGAACTGGCTTGTGAAAGGCGGGAAGCAAGTTTCACATGGTCAAACATAACCAGGACCAATCTCTGAGCTTACAAGCAAGTAAGAAAGCAAGCAAAAATCCACCATTTGTTAGGCCAGCCAACACATAATGGACTGAACATGAACATGACAGCTCAAACTTATGAGTAATCACACTGCCACATTCAAAACACTTTGCAAACAGTGTCACCATTTCTGATAAAAAGGGAATTCAGATACTTGAGCCTTAAGGTCACAAGAGTATGTGTTATCATGGCTGGGCCATTGCTCGATAAGTAAGGGCATAATCTACGCAAATCAGCCTAGAAAGCCACATTTTTAACCACATCTGACATAAGATGTTCTATGGACAGGCCATGTGACATCAAGATTTTTTAAATTTGACTCTCAACCTCCAGAAAACATATTCCCACAATTCAGCAGCTAGCAGTCAGTTCTCCCTTCCTCCCATCTTTCTTGCCCCAGACAACTGTCCCTCTTTGCACAAAGGCAGAGAACAGAATTTAGCCTATAATTTGGGAGTGGGGGAGGGGAGGCATTTTGTTTCCAATAATATTATATCTATTTATGTAACAAAATAAAGAGAAATACAACCATGTTAGAAGATTGGGCTCTGTGGATATGTGCCTTCTCTGTGACTTTCAGTCCTTTTAAAGTCCGAAAAGCAAGATTCTGAATTTGAGATATTATAGACCTTATTTCAAAAATAGAACATTTTTTTTTCTAAATACAATCCTAGCAAGAGTTAAACAGAACAAAATCCCCCTCACAAATACATGTATAGCAAAGAAAATGTTATGGTGTGTGACAAGGCAAAAGGCAAGGCTGTCAGTAAGAAGAGACTTTGCAAACACCTTTATCAGGAGTTGGCATAAGCAGCACTAAGGTTACTATAGTCAAAAAACTACAAAGTTCTTCCACATTTTGCAAAAACAAGCCACCCCAGCTAGATGGCTTCCCCTCACCAAACACAAAAAACTGAGCTTCTACGAAGGATCTAAGACAAAATGTCATTCCATTCCTTGGAAGGAGGGAGGGATCTCAACCATCAAAAATTCCAAGAGAAATAATTTCTTGTTTTTCCTGCTTTCCAAATCTTACTTCTTTTCCCTGTCCCCAGTCATTGGTATCTAAACTTCAAGTCTCCTTTAAGTCTATATAAAATTCTTGAACAACTAAGTAAGAATTATATTTTATCAGGATCTGATCCAAAGCACACAAATCTTTTCACCGTTTCTAATGGGTTTTAGACCAGGTCCATATAATAAGGAAAGAATACAGGAAGGAGCCTGCTAAAATGTAGTCTTTGCTTCAGTATGAAATGGGCAATCCCCTGTCCTTTTAGAGATTTATTTAATACACACAAACAAAATGGACAGTGCAAAATTAGTGCCTCAATCCTGTGACTGGATCTGGATAGATGAATTGATGCACTTCTGCACAGCCCTAGCAAAGGTCTGCTTTCATGGATCTCCTCAAACTCAGGCCACTCTTCCTCCAAGATATGCATGCAAGCACAGATATTCATGCACATAATGTGCAAGAAAAAAAAAAAAGTACCAGAGAAAACCAAATCACTTACTCCCTGCACAGCAAGAGTCCTATCCACTTTACCTCCAAATCACGCAAGAAATAGTAATGCAAGATTTATAGAAAATACAGACCTCCGGGTGGATTCAGTCTGTACAACCTTTTGGCTTGTGAAAGATGGATTGCTTGTCTTGCCCTATTTTAAACATAATGATATATAGGGGCTCTGTTTTACTGATTGCTATTGTGATGATGCACATCCGTATCTACTGCATGCTGTAAACAAAAGCAAATAGGACAGAGCCCCCAAAAATCTGAGGAGTGCAATATGAAGAGAATGCTAATTTAAGCAAATGCACAGACTGAACAGGATAGCAGCCAGCTCACCATGATATCCTACGTATTTCAGAATCGATTGCTTCAATTTCTCATTGTTTAGCACTTGTGTTTAAATGACTTTTCCTAGTTTAGCATAGTGATATTTCCCACTAACACATGCTGTACAATACTGTCCCTACCAATGGATTGGCTGACAAAGGAAAGATAAAACAAAGAAGGAAGAGCATACTGTTTGTGGGATGTAAACACCCCATACACGGATATATATATATATATATATATATATCAACCTTTCTTCTTGCACACAAGCCGGATACTGATTTTTTTTCTTCCAAAATATAGTGGTCAGTTCTTTTCTCAAAAAAAGTTCACTTTGTATTGTGCTGTACATTACATTAACAAGCCAGAGCATGAATGCATTCCTCTGCCACTCGCAAG